TACGTTACTAAAAAATCGAGTAAATTTGAGTAAAAAAATAACCTAGGCCTTTAATACGAATAAATTAATTTTTGCAATTTAATTCAAGTTCATCATGTTTGCAATGTTTTAATTTTACTTAAAATTATGAAAAATGTATAGATGTAAACTAACAAAATATTGCTAGAATATTTTACAGCTTTGTACCGTAAGGGATTAAAAATTGGAGACAACACTTTTATATAAAAGCAATATAAATAAGAATCCAAAGTGTAATGCTTAGAAAATGGTTAAAATAAAATTCAAACAAAATTAACATTAATGTACATTTATGAATTTATTGCAATATTGCAATAACATTTATGAATTCATTTAAAAGCGGATAACAAATGGTAGAACATCCTGTACTAAATATTAAAATATAATTTCTATGAAAAAATAACAAGGACCCCAATGACTATAAAAAAGCTTCATTGTGCAAGGTTAAAAAATTCGAAATATGTAGCGGAATATTTAAAGAAACGGATTGCTTTCGGTTACTCTGCATCTAGGATGATATTACTTTTCGTTACTCTTGTGAGAGAAACTCCAAGAGAAAGTAGAAAGTATAGAAACGTTAGCAGACATACAGAACAATAATTTAAAAAAGCAATATAGTTGCAACTGATCTACCGATTTTTTAAACATATTGTAATATATTAAATTACAGTTCATTTTAGTCAAATATTCATTGAATTGCAATTTTTACAAAATCGTTATACTTTGATACATTATAACCTGAAAAAGTTACACAATGATGCAAGACCTTACCTAACCTAACCTATTTACCTTGTTTAACCAAAAATTTGCTAAATACAAAGCTAACACTATTTAATTTACTACTATTTGAAATTGGTAATTGACACTAACTAATATTTTTGTATTAACGTATTTTGTAATATCGTAAGTTTGATGAATCTGTAAAATCTAAAATTTGCAATAACTGAGATTATAATTCATCGTGGAAATTGAATAAATTTTCATCCAAGCATCATAACGGAAGACACTAAACCCACTACACTGTGTTTATAAAATTAACGGAACTCTACTAAACGATTCTACTGTTTACAAACTTTATAGCTATTTCCCGATCAATGCTCGGATGCTTACTGTTACTGTTTTTGTCAATGGGATATTGTGATATACGTTTGTATATTTTTTCCCCATGTTCCTGTCTCTCATTTTTCATATTATCAATATTATTTTAGATAAGTTAGTTATTTTTGGAGGTCCTACGCGCAACATCATCACGCGGACTAAACAGAACGAGTCTTAAATAAATTTGACGTCTCCGTTTTCTTCGGCCCCCTGTTTTTACATTATGAATTTAACGAGTTTAGCCTATAACTAGGCTGTTTTTTACATTGTTGTTTGCGAAGAGTAAGGTTTTTAAATGTGGCCCCGTAGAGAGCGAGGCCCTAGCTTGCGCCTAATGCTCCTTGTGGTATATGCGGCCCTGGTACAGACTCAACTACCTAAATGTTTTTATTGCTTAATGTCTAGGAAAATGCTTTTACAAAGTATATACATTCTATACAAATTAAATAATCTGTAGAAGTTTTATTTCTTGTATTATTTACATTTTATTACGCTCCCGGAATTGTTGATAAAGCAATGTTGTAATACTTGCTTGTTCAGATTAGTTCCTCGTTCTAAACGTCAGGTTCTCAGAACAGATCAGAAAGTAGAACGACACTTGAAGAAAACACTAGAACACGAGGAAGTGCTCTGTTTCTTCCATTTCCATTTTTCTTACGTTTACCTTTTGTAGGTAATTGGTTATTTTATTTAAAAAACTGTCTTACGCTAATAATGCAATTGATATTGTCTATTACAAACGTTTTTCTATATATGCAGTTAAATAAACGCGATGTATGCAACTTGTACGAAGGGAAACTTCACAATCCAATCAAGACCAACGTCTTGAGATTTTTTGAGAAGTTAGAAAAATATCTATAGATTATCTTTACAATGCAAATTTTGTAAATTTCTAAATATTGATACTTTATCACGTTTCACTTGTGATTTAGAAAAAAAAAAATATGCTACATACCAACGATGAATTGGCAGATATGTATAATCTACTTAGTTTAGTTTTTTCTAACAACTTTTATATATTTTTATAAAGCAATTTACAACACAGTATGTTCAAACCTGAAATTAGGAAACCACTTTATTCCGGATTATTAAGGGCAACCTCTTGTATACTGTTCGCGATACACTCGATACTCTAGGTTACACGATACTACATAAGAAGAAGAACATTTAATATTTACCGTATAAGTATGTACGTATATACATATAGAGAGTGTACTACTTAAATCAATATAGCAGTATTTATTGGTGACTATTTAAATATCCGAAATTTTTTTTACATTACCACATGCCACTTATATAGGGTATACTTAATTTTTCAAAATGAAGTTAAAATAATCGACAAAAAGTAGTAATGTGTTTGTATGAAAAAGTTATTAATTTAGAGGATATTATAACTTTTCATATGTTTCCACAGACTGAATGCTTCTGTACGACGTGATTGTAAACAAACGCTATACAGATGGAGTATAAAAGGTGTTTAAACCAATTAACATTTGAATATTGTAAACAATCTTCACCTGTCCAAATTTCATCGTGAATGTAACGACCTTTCATTTCGCTACAAAGGTTCACTCGATCCCAAATTAGTATTTCGTTTTAGGAGACATACTACTTATCGTTAGTGTACAGAAAAATACGTAGTTCCCCTCCTCCCCTCTGTTACCATGTATTCTCGTAAAAAGAAGCTTAGAAATCTCAAATATTTGGCAAGAAATAATGCTGGATTTATTTAAGTTGGGCACCTTATACATACACTACCGTCCGCGATTTCTTTAAGTTCCTTAAAAATTAGATTAAATTATTTAGGAAAGTCGATAGGCAAAATGGGACACGCGTATCTATATATTATTTTAATCTGTTGTTAAAGAAGGACATTCGAACGAAATGAAAATTTCACAAGTAATATCAGCTGTTTCGCTAAATAAAATTACACCGTTACAAGCGATACATACGGGAGAATATTTGACGTATCAGAATACGAACACGGAATTCTCTATAAGATATAAATATACACGGTGTTTTTCCGGTTTTCCGCTTAGTAATATTCAAATTACGGCCAGCGATATAACGTTTGCCGCGCTTGTTGCAGGACGTAGAAAAGGGTCAGTTCGATTCGAACGTCTCGGGCCTCTCGTCGATCTGTTCGCGGCCGGCGTCTTCGTCGCGGACGTCGACGTCGGCCGAGAGCAGAGTCAAGCTCCAGGATAAACTAAGGAACAGCAGCAATTCGAATGTGTCGAACGTCGCTGTTGAAGTGGAAATCGGAACAACGAACAATGAACCGATAGGTACGTCGGACAGGGTAGAGAACGAACGGGAGATGTGAGGTACACAGTTGAAGAAAGATTGCGTGTGCATAGGTGTGTTGAGCGAAGGAGCGGGGACAGAGGCGACCACAACGTCGACGACGACAACGTCCAAGACGAGGACGCGTACGGGAAGAGGAACGGAAAGGAGCGTAGCGAGCCGGTGGAAGGCAGTCGGCAGCCTGCTGCGCCGCCTGGCACTCATCATGCTTCTGCTAGCGAGCTTGGTTGCCTGTTTGGCTCTGCTCGCCATATACGCTGGCCCTATTTTCCTGGTGCAGCTACTGGTCGTCGTTCTTGTTGCGTATTTAGTTTCCGGAGGACGTTTCCGATGGTTCTATGTCGTCTACAAAACTGCGCCCAGAGACATTATGTGAGTAAACACGTTCATCTTCTTTCTCTCGCCTATCCGCATCTGTACATTTCACAATTTGACACATCGATATTTTTGGCTTCGATTCGTTCTAATTCCGATCGGCGAAACCGGAAACCGGGTCACTCTTCGGACTCTCCTCGCTGTTCTCGCACGGCCACTTCAATTTCTCTCGGATTCTTTTGAGTTTCGCGGATGGTACGCGTCGTTTGACACATCATCGGTCACGATCATAACGGTCGAGCACGTGAAACTGTTTTGGCAACGAAGTTGCTCGTTTCAGGCGGACAGAAGAAATTCAGGAGCGTTGTCCGATAGTTTTTCAACGGCATTTACATTTTTCTTGACATTTTTTAATGGCATGATAATCGTATGTGTAGGTATAATGAAAGAAATAGGTATTGAAAAGTATGTCTGAAAGTGGGAAATTTGTGTATCGTGACCACACAGGACAAATATCGTACTTTCGTCCTTCGCGAGTTAAGGATTATACCGCTCTTATAAAATATTTGTTCAATTTTTGTCAATATAGCTTGATGTATGCAGCTTGAATGTGTGCACAGTAATTAAAGCTTATATCTTTTATTTATTTGTCACAATAGCATTGGCAATAAATAATGATTTATTGTTTCGTTTATAATAAAAATTCATTACTACCAACATTATGAAAACACTTTGTGTTCTTATCACATTACAGTTACCGTTGCAATATAGTTTATATTTAGTTTACATCGGTCGTAATAAATAAATTGTGCATTTCCTATTTATAAATTAGTGTATTCGCGAAACATATATTTCCTATTGTTATATAAGTCATATCATTAAAAAAAAAAAAAAAAAGGAGAACAGTATTCGTTCTCTTTTACCTCTACCTTTATTTTTTGCATACAGCGTGCAAGCACATGATACGAGCTCCCACTAATTTATTGAGTCAATGATCAAAGTTTAATGTCAAATTGCATTGTAGAACAGTTACAAAGGAAATTGATTTTTAAATTGGCACGTTTAGCTATTACGGTTGTTGCACAATAATGAGATTTAAATGATGGTATGTGTTGGAATAGGCAACTTTTATTGTACATACAAAATAATATACATTATATACGTCAAGAGAACGCACGATAACATCCTCCGAATAACTTGTAAACGATTCCATAAATTGGATAAATGTGATAAATAGTGCATATATTAATTTATACGAGCGTCTAAATTTTCTGCTGTCCGAGTTCTCTTTTCCCACAACACATATATCTCGTTAAGTATATAAAGTTCATTTTTATTGCGCTTCGCATTCTCTGTTCAAGAAATATTACAAAATTTCCACATGTTTTGAAAAACGTAAAATAAGTTTTCTTACTTCTATCGGAAGTTACATTCTTTGTGTTAGGATGGCAAACGTGCATAATATAGAATATGCTAGTAATAGAATTGTATAGAATCTAGTACAATTGATGTTGCAGCATCTGTATACATACAATTCATAACATTCTTATATCTTTCATAACGCTAAGTGAATGGGAAATATATTATATATATATATATTACCAGAATTATTTAAACTGTCATTTATAATGTATATTGCATGTACTGATTGAATTATATTCTTGTAGATATGGACTTTGTGCACTTGTAGACTGCATATGTTATCATTTCTAGAATAACGATCTAATATGGAGATATGTCGACACATTTTTAAGGATACACGTTGCAAAATTAATACCAGTAAAACCATTGCACGTCGTTGATGTTTTCCAAGATATTTTTTGACCGATTTTATCCTCCTTTTACCTTGATGTTAAACTTGTTTCTGTTCTTACATCGGATTTCTTAAAATGTTTTAGGTCAAGTAGAAACAATTTGCAAAGAATACTCTCCTTTTAACCTACATACTTTAAAACAAACATTAAATGCACCATGCACCCTTAAAATGTTTGTTATATTTCAATTACTGTCGCTCGAATTATTAGATTTTTTCATTTGAAAATCATAGTATTTTACGCTTGTAATAATCTACAAATTTACATTTACATTAACATATTTAAAATATAAAATGTACGGCTGCACAGTGACAGTGTTGTTACACCGTATAAAATGAAATGTAGTAGCATTACATAACGTCCTTTTTTCCTTTAAAAACATGCGTTATTTTATTTTCTCATTTTATATTTCTTTATTACGTCGCAGTATTGTTGGCTATATTTATCGTATGATTTTACAATCTTGGATTGGATACAACCAAACGATAAACTCATAATGAAACGTGATTTTAGTTATTAACCCTTTGCACTCGGGGGTGATTTTACTGTAGAAAAGGTTGCAAATCGGATGTTTGAAATTTTTTCAAACTAACGTAGAAATAAAGTACACTATTTTATTTAAATATGTAACGTATTCTCTACTTCACCGTGGTGAAGAAATTTATGGAGGCCCATAGATCTGCTCTCGGTCTTCGTTAATTGTTCACCAAGTGACGATTATTTAATGTCGCTTCTCAGTCGCCACTCGATTACAAAGGGTTAACATGTTCATCTATAAAACATTTTCTCTTTTCTAAGATAATAAAGAAGAATTTGGAAAGAAAATGAATAGGAATTTTTCGGAGGTACATTATGCGATGACGTGAATGGAATATGTAATCCAGGTCAAAGTTTAATTAACGTGATATCTAAACTACTCGTGCAATTACATTATTTTGTCGCATTTGGCTTATTGAATCTTAAAATTTCGTAAATAAACACGAAATTTTGTTAAATTACTCACGTTGAAAGGTCGAATCGAAAGATTATTAATTCGTAGAATGTTAAGATTATTGTGCATTAAACGTTAATCCTGACAAAATCACCAATATGCAATTCAATTACACATATTGTTAAAAATATGCTACTCTTTGTTTTTTCAAGATTAAGATCACGTGTCTCATTATGCACAAGATCAAGATCACGTTGTGTTTATTGGTACACATTGTACTTGAACTTCGTTGTTTAACACCCGATACTATATGGAAAGATAAAAATATATTATCAGGCATCATCAAAATCGTGCAATGATATGGGCAAATAATAGGTAGATGTGGTTGTATAAAACTTGATAATAAGTTCAATAGTAATATATTTTATAACAATAACTATAAACACACGTAAAAAGAAATAATGATAATTTGATCAACGCTCACAAAATATATCTCGCAATAAATTCTCACGTACTCACTGATATCAATAACAACGCGCTTCTCCTGTTTTTTACCCACAGTTACCCTGTATGATCCGCTCCGTTTACCAAATCTCGAGACGATTCGACATACACGCTAGATTCATGCCATCACTCACAACTTATTATTAAACCAATTCCACAGTAGATACCGTTCCAATTGAAAACTATTTCCTGCTCGTTTACCAAATCTCGAGACGATCCGACATACACGCTACATTCATGCCATCACTCACAACTTATTATTAAACCAATTCCACAGTAGATACCGTTCCAATTGAAAACTATTTCCAACTTTCATATACAGAAAATATTAAACATTTTCATTGTTTACAATCAATCGTTACCTACCTTCTATAATAAATTATAATCGCGATCGTAAATTATCCAGGACAAGTATTTTAAAAGAAACTATTAATCGATGTCAACATTAATGCGTAAGGAAGAGATTAGTGACAACTTGGATTGTAATTTAACAACGAGATATCCCAAGATCTGGTTTACATTATTACATAAGATGAGTATTATTTACGGACGCTTGTGATAAGATTGATCTTGCTTCTATTACCTCGATATCCTTTTGCGGTGAATACAGTGGCTTCCTGTTGGAAATGCACATCGTATTTTATTTATCTCCAATGTTTTAATTGAACTTTCGAAAATAACGTCTACATATCCAAAGAATTTCTTGTTATCTACTTATATACGTAAACTTGTCGCGGACCGATATTACAATTAAATGTACAAAAAATGTCTATGTAAAAGTAGTTTTATCTGATAGGAAAAATTTTGCATAACATTTATCTCTTTCACGAAGTTGGTTCCAATCTCACGATTTCTAAGTTTGAATAAAAAATTGTTGGATTATTTCTAACAACACCCTATGGAAATAATCAAGTGAGGACAAAAATGTCTCCGGGTTATTTTAAACAAAGGCACTAAGACTTCCACCAGATGCATCTGGTGTCCGTCTTCGAGTCACTCACTGCACAATGCCATACCATAATGTAAACAGTTTCTAGGTATAAGGAGACCCCAACTTTCTTTTGGGTGTCCAGAAACAGTCCTTCAGAAGATTCAATAGAGTAAAGACGTTTCCTCTGAGACCGTAAATAAAATCGTATATTACATAGTTAAAAGACTATTTCATTCCATAACCCATTTCCAATAAAAATGTTAACCAAACTTGACATTTCCTGTCAATATCCATAAGAATATCTGACTAGACGTTGATTTGAACATACACATCACTTAACTTGCTCAATACATTATGAAATGCCACAACAGTCTAAAAATAATGAAAGATATTAATCATTACAACCATGTGCTTTTGTGAATGAAAGGCGATATTTTGTTAGATGTATAAATTGCTTGCATATCCTCATAGGTATTATTATTATTAACATCAAATTTATTCCATTGGATAACTCGTTGAATTTTGGGCTAACTTCGTTATTTTTGTTGCAAGGATGCCAATGTGGAAAATCAGTATTCTTGATTTGTAGGAAGTTGAGAATAATATCGCTCGTGCATTTTTCGAGAAGCGATAAGTTATTTATAGTACGTGAAAGCTATGTTATCGTAATGAGTTCATTGACACGTGACATAACGTTAGTCAAGGTCATTCAAGACTTAAGATGAAAGAAACAGTTGGAACACTGTAATAGTACATTTATAATTACAACGAACGAAATTCTTCATTACTTATAATGAACAAAAATATTTTTACAATTTTTACACGGCGTTTAACTTAATTTCATTTTTAATACATATTTTCTACCAGTGTTCAAATTACTATTCGTTCTTTCAATATTTCTTTCTTTTACTCTGGCCGTATTTCTTATTAATATGCTACAACAAATTTGTTATTTTTAAATTATTTTCTTTATTCCTTACGTTTCTATATTTTGTACGTTATGAGCTTAAAGTTTGCGTTGCTTACGTATACATTTCTATAACGCCAAAAATTGTTTAAAATAGTGCATCAAAATTTCAAGTTAAAATAGTAACATTTTTCTTTTACTTCTTCTTACATATTTATTTCTTCATTTTTATAACAAAGTTTTCTACTTAATACTTATAATTACGAAGTTTTGTGCTATAGATTACACATTATAGCAAAATTTCATACACACATAAAGTAAGGATCTTGTGCAAAAGAATTCACCGAAACTTGTGTTTTATCACCCGAGGTAGCTAAAATTACATGCTAACGAACTGATTACGCTTAAGTAAGTAATGGTAACTGCTAACGTTTAAAGATGTGTTGCAAACAATATGTACAAATTATAATGGAAACACTTTAGACGTAACGTTTATATAATTCTGAAAAGAATATTCTGTCCAGAATTAATTCCATAGACATGTGGTACGTGATGCATGCAATTGTATAAAATTCAGTGTCAATTAGCGGTGAATTACTTAAAACGACGTGCGTAACACATAGATTTCTCTCGGTACTCCGACAGGTCTATTGAATCAACTGTGAGCGCTTAAATTTCCTTTAAGGTGCACTTCAATTTGTCGTTTTACAATTCAATCGCTGTATATTCTAAAGTTGTTGATAATTTCCATTCAGGTACTTCTGTTATTTACTTATTTCTATTTTTCATCCATCCGAAGTTCACTTTGCGGACAACGTTAATTCAGTATTTATATAGCGGTGTTATCTAAGAAATATTGAATGGTTAACATGCATATGAATGATAATAATTATTCTAAAGTACAGAACTTGTATTTTTTACACGTGTACAAATCGTAAGATACAAATTGATTGAAATTTATGTTCAGTGTCTCTTAAACGGGAAGCAAGTTTATTCGTTATCATGTGTTGTTACACGTAGACGATAGTGTAATTACGTAATACCTGAACTTCTTCAATGGAATAACGAATGAATAAATTTGCAAACGATTTTCCTTTGACCTTTACAGAAAACAGTTTTTTATAATAGTATTCAGTTAGACAGCATTTTTCTTCGAGTTACTAATGTTATCTGTGTACATTAAGACCAGTATCAGAAGGTGTACCTATTGCAATTATATGTCGTTGGAATACTTTACTTGTAATAGTTTTCAAGCTTCTGAGAATGAATGTTAAGTAGAGCAATAAGTGACGAGTGAAAAAACCTTAAGTTACATTTTTACGTGAGAACATGTTATTTAATTAACGTTGTTACAATTCATAAGCCACCCCATTACGTTATCAATTTTTCGTATAATATTTACTACTGCTCGCAATGTGCATCTTCGTTAATTAAATCAAACAATTCGATTTTTGGATTATTATCAAGTGAGTAAAATTGTAGAGATACTAAAATTAATACTTATTCAATATGCATATTAATTATTTAAATTGTGCAGAATATTTAATATTGTGTACGTTAATTATTTTCAAAACGTCAGTTTATTTCAATACATATATAACATTCATTTAAAAACTTCAATTATTTATAAGTAAATGTGACGTTCTATTGCTTTCGCTTCTGGAATGTATTTCGATCTTGTAAAAGAAAATTATTTGAAAGCTTCAAAAAAAAACAAAACAAACGGGTTTAATTATATCAAATTTTTGGTTCGATTTTAAAAAGCTCAAGCTTACTTTTCATTTTAAGCGCGTTTCATGAAATTTTAGGCTATCGTATAATTGGTTACGGCAGATTAAAATTTTTCAACTCACCTTTAAAAACACAGACTTCAATTTTGATTTTAATACGAGCATCTTTTCTATTTCAGAGCTATAACCCGGTTTATGAAAGTTCTCTGGCTTATACGTGGTTACCAGAAAAAGAATAGCGGCGTCGCCGATGTATTTCGACAACATGTTAGTCGACATCCCAATAAAGTTTGTTTCATTTGCGAAGATCAAGAGTGGACATTTCAGCAGGTAAAATGCGTAAAACTACTCAATCATCATTAAAGGTAAACTTAAGAATATCTGTTAGCAATCATTAATGTACTATATAAATTTGTCACTCGAGTCATTTATTATGTCGTTCAATTTTCGTTCGTTCAGATTTCATATTAATATTCATTTCTTCTAATTATTCTTTCAAAGCTTCTATTCTATCTTTTATATGTTTTTGAGTTTGTAAACTTCGGATAATGTGTACAGATATTTAATGTATTTTTTTAGCAATTTCTTTTTGTAATTCATCCAAAGCGATATATTATGAAATTAAATTAATCACTCAATAAGTATTAACATTAGATTGTTTCCTCGATATGGCCATGGTGGTCATCAGTGACTGGAGTGCCTCAAATGTTTAGAATAATTAAAATAAAACAAACGTTGTCAACTAAAAATTTTGAACGTCAGAGCTAGCTAGACATTATTTTCAATTGAAAAAAAAAAATTATAAAGCATAATACTATAACCCTATCCTTAAAATGTATTTTCTTGTGGCCGCCTGACAGCAACCTGTAAATCTGGCGCGACAGTGAACGTGTTAATAAGTAAATGTTGTTCAAATTATATCGTGTTTGATATCATTTTCATCAGAAAAATCTCACCAACATGATGTTAGTCCCTGACTCTACAAGTGTCAGGTTTAGGTTCCTTGCGGACTGACACTTGTAGAGACGCGGTACACTGATTCACACATTCGTATCCAATCATAAGTCTTATCTGTTATTGGAAGCAGTAACAGAAGATACTTTTGCAGTTCGTTGTGAATTCCAAAGGTTAGAGATGCTCAAAATGAGGGCCATTTGCTGCTACGCATAATTGGTAGCTTTTGATCAATTCTTCAATTCTTCTATTTCCTGCGATGTTATAAGGGTAAGGTCAGGAGAACAAGCTGGCCACTCCACGGTTGGATCCGTCCGATTCAACGTCCTCTAAACATTCTGCCTAACACTGTCCTTGCACACGTCGAATAATATGGTGGACAACTATCGTGTAATGTTTACGTTCGAATACGAACGTGTGACTCCATGTTCTTGAGTAAATCTTTAGGAAATTTTAATTGTCCTTAGACGCAAATATCTCGAAATTGAACGAGGGGGATGGTACGGTCATCCAGGTCGTTAAATTTGTTTTTTCACTCTCTACAAGGATATTGAAAAAAAATATATAGGGTTCCATTTTAAAAAAATAACGATGTCCTTAAAATTTCGTAAAAAGGTGACCTTGAGAAAAAACCGTATCCACGATTACGTACTTACATATGTACATAATTGAGCCGTTTATTTTGAAAGTGGGGCAAGTCCATATTTTGTTTCGACAATACATTATTCACAGATAGAAAGATCATTAAGTTCTATCTATTGTTATCGTTAACTTCATTTTTTTTTTAAATGAACTTGCCCCACTTTCAAAATAAACGGCTCGTTTGTCTAAGCATGCTCTGATACATTTTCTTTCAAAAATCCTAATTCGTACCACGGTGCTCGCGCTAATACCTGCCATACTAGATTTGATAGTCATATGAAATAATTAGCCATTGAAGTGTTACAACGGAGAATTTTCATCGACTTGTGTAGCGCTTTTGAATAAAATAGTCTTTTGTGCGCTAAAAATGCACTACCGGCTTTTTGTAATTGCGTATTAATGTGCGTATTGTAATTCAATGAAATATCCAAGAATACACGTAAATAACGTACCGTTTGTTTGCATGGAATTCTTTCATTTTTATTGTTTGAAATTTTTTTTGAGTTTGCCTTTGTCTATCTGTGTTAGCAGCGAATATTTTCGGCATACATGTTCGAAATTAAAATAAACGATTCACATTTATGCATACTGATTTTTAACTTCCATATTTGAAAATAATCTCGTACTCTAGCAAATACTTTTTGCAATTCTACTTTGACACTCGCGAGGGGATTTCTTATCTCTTATATTTAGAAACAGATCATCCGCAAAAGCTGCGACTAATTTATTATTGCTATTATTTAAGTCATTGATTTGAAATAGCTCAGCAATGTATACAGGGTGTTTCAAAACATGTGGGCATAACTTCAGGGATGGATTGAGTACGCTAAAATAAGAAGAAAAGTTCATATATACATATACCCGATATGACCTTGCTTCCGAGTTATAGCCCTTTTTGTATGATACCTGTTATCTAATAATTTTCGTAGAAATTGCTCGAAGTGGACACCCTCGGCTCGAATGCAGGCTTCCAAATGTATTAGATGATCACTTCAAATTATTATGAAATGCATTAGCAAATTTCCATACGTCCTGTTACCATCAAGAACATGTATTAAACTGATTGAAACAAATTACAAAATAGTGTTTACATAGCAAACCAGAAGGTCGTGCATGAAATAAGAAGAAATTACTTGTAAGCAATTAAAAGAAGCAGTCAATAGAGTCGTAAGAATTACTGGAAGACATAAACGGCTATAATTCGGAAACAAGGTCATATCGGGTATATGTTTATATGAACTTTTCTTCTTAGTTTAGCGTACTGAATCCATCCCCGAAGATGAGAAAAGTTATTGTTCCTTGTTGAAGATTATTGACCATTTCGAAACATCTAATATACAGGGTGTACCACCTAATTTTATCACCCGAAATATTTCCGTTGTAATTCAAATTTCGTAAAAATCTTTCCTACAAAAGTTGCATAGTTTTATGGGGGCCAGTGTATAACGGGGAGGCCATTGTTACACACTATATAACTAGGTCCCCCGTAAAACTATGCAACTTTTGTAGGAAATATTTTTACAAAATTTTAATTATAACGGAAGTACTTCAGGTGATAAAGTTGGGCGGTACACTCTGTATGTATCTAACTGTTGAGTTTTTGTTAAAATTTTATCAAAGCTAGATTTTTTGCCGTTAAGTTTACGAAAAATAATAATCATTTTATCGAATTTAGTAAAGTAATTCTGAGTGGTCTGGGGATCGGTAAAGTTGTCCAGAATGTTACACATGATTTTGAATTTTATGATGTTTGTAAGCGGTAGTCTATCTGCCTTATCATTTTAGAGATGGACTGATTGGAAACGAGTACCTATAGTGTATAGGTTATCTATGATGTTATTAATAATGTAATTCTTCTCATTATCTTTTTTAACAGAATAACATGTACATTAAGTAGAGTGAAAGAAGGTCGCTCGACTTGTGAAGAGATACAGTAGATACTTTGTGTCTCCAGTGATTGCTAACAGATTCATGGGAGGTTATTTTTTCTTTGTATACTTTCAATAGTTTGTTTAGAATTTTGACTAAAATGACTTTAATTATGGAAAAGTTATTTATTTGTGTTAATACATATTGCTTCAGTGTTATACGTTTATTTATCTCTATTATTTGGTACATCAAATTCGTTATTGCTTTTACATAGGTATCGTTTCTATTTAAGCCAATTACCTTTGTTGAAATTCTTTTTATATTAACACTTAGCCAACCGCGCGCGCCACGCCTGACCGTACGCTGTTTGTGTTTTACAAAAGCAGAAAAGGTATTTTATGAATTGCGAACAACTCCAGTTCAAGGCAGCCTTATAACAAAAGAAAAGTAAACATGATAAAAGACAACGCGTTGCTAAGAGAAAAGTGGGAGATCTCCCCGGTCGGTCATGCAGCGACTTACTTCACAGCGGGGAGATCTCCCTATTCGGTTGGCTAAGTGTTAAGATGATTCTATGGAAGGAGAGTAAAGGAAGAGATTGAGTAGAAATTTGCATTTGCAATGCTTCGTGATCTCTGTCGTAATCTAAACAGTTTATATTACCGAAGTTAAGACTCTGAACGGATAAGATTCTGTTATCAGCTATGCGTAGTTCAATATTGATATTAATTAATAATTATAATTTATTTGTGATTTGACCTTGTGAGTACCATAGACACAGGAAAAAGCTTCTCTCATCGTTTATTGCATTGCCTTAACATGTATGACGAGTTTTTTCACAATATTGTTGTATGATTTTTGATTACTAATTAATTTGCTGTAATTTCATTCCAATATTTTGTATCAGTTCTAAGTAAGCTCTGAGGTATTTTCTTTCACAATTCTCCGTTTTTCCATGGTACTAACGGAGATGTTGAATCATATGGGGCAACCACATGCAATATGGATGTTAATAAAGATTTATAGCGTTTAACCTACAATACAGGTGTATACTTAAGTATGAAAAAATATTTTTCAGTTTTTATTGTCGTTTAGTTGAAAGTTTTTTACATAGTTTTCGGCAGAGATTGTTGATGTGTACGGACGGAATAAAATTCTTTCACATTTATTTGTATTAATTTTCAGTTTCTAAGTATGTAATAGGCTTTTTACCAATGTTTTTTGGTGTTACACTTTTAACTTCGCTGGTTTACGGAATAGACTGAAGAGAAAGCGTTCGTGTTTCTTACAACATAAGTAGACTAGGAATTACAGTTTCGTGTTCCGAGTAATTATCATACAATGGTGGTGATCAGGGCCGGCGGAACGCACTAAGCAGCCTATGCAAGGCATAAGGGCGCTTGATGCCAAGAGCACTAATGACAAGGAGCACCTCGGACGCAATACGAGACTTTTTTAATTTTCACTAAGCGGTTCTTTCGAGGAGCCGAGATATGTTGTTTATAAATATCTTGAATCACATCAGCGGTGTTCTGTGCTTTTTTGTGTGAGGCACTCCTGTCATCGGGTGCAAAGGGAGAATTTTTTAATTTTCACTAAGCGGTTCTTTCGAGAAGCCGAGCTATATTGTTTATAATCGTCATGAATCACATCAGTGCTGTTCTATGTTTTTGTGTGAATCACAATAATTCTAGGACGCCATATAAAGTCTGGCATAAGGGCGCCAAACACCCTACCGCCGGCCCTGGTGGTGATAACATTTAAGGAACGTATTGTCAGGTAGAACCTATTATTCTTTGAACTAGCTAATTACCTAAGCACCGCAGTGTGGATAGTTTCGGATCTACATGTATCATTATACAAAAACTCATTCAAATTGGTTCATCAAGCATGTGTGTTCTCTTTACTTGTCAAATTCGTCAACCGCGGATGCTAATTTTTTAATAGACAATCCTGGAAAAGTATTTAGCGACTAGAATTGGTTACTGTTATACACTAACAGAATTATTACCGATACAGCCTTAAGTGTATA